TAATTTGTTGAACAATCTACAGGATCTAGTTATAGTGGCATTACATACATTGTATAACTAATCTATTACATAGTCAATCTTGGGTACAAGTCCAATATATCTTCAAGTGTTCCAGTATTCATAAAGTATATGCAGTGTTCAGGAAAGTGTTGGGTAAGGGTACATACCTATCAGTTGTACCTGTGGCTTTATAATGTACCTGTGCCTTTATAATGTACCTGTGGCTTTATAATGTACCTGTGGCTTTATAATGTACCTGTGCCTTTATAATGTACCTGTGGCTTTATAATGTACCTGTGGAGATATAATTATACATTCTGACTAGAATGTTTACTATTCAGGGGAGGGGAAAGTGGGGGTGGGGGGGGGGGAATTGAGAAGGTGAGATGCGAGAGGTAATCAGAGACAGAATACTTCGATTGCCATTCTTCAACCCTTTCCCTCCCGACCCCCCCCACCCCTTTCCCCTCCCTCTTCCCCACCCCCCATCCCCCCTTCTTCTTCACCCCCCCTCCCCCGAGACGGGATTTTATGAGCCAGGGGAATGCTCTGCCACCCCTCTTCCCCCCACCCCTTTTCCCCTCCTCTACCCCTCCTCCCCCCACCCAACGCAGGCGTGGGGGGGGGGAGGGTGTGCTGGCTTTGTGCACTTGTCTTCACACCGTGTGCACCTCTTGAGAGCTTAATGTGAGCCCGCGGCCCATTGAGGATTCTACCCGAAGCTCCCTGATCCGCTTAAGGGCTCAATAGCATGGAGTCGCTCTCTCCTGTTTAGTCCGTTTTGAACCCTTTCAAGCTCTCGGCAGGAGAGGAAATGTTTGATGGAACGACAGGTAGGGGAAGGAGGGGGAGGGAGAGAGAGAGAGAGAGAGAGAGAGAGAGAGAGAGAGAGAGAGAGAGAGAGAGAGAGAGAGAGAGATTAAGAAGAGGGAAGTAATAATTTTTGGTTCTTCTTTTGAATTAAATTTTGAATTAAACGTGTGTGTATGTGTGTGTGTGTGTGTGTATATATATATATATATATATATATATATATATATATATATATATATATATATATATATATATATATATATATATAATATGGTAACTATAAGGAAGCACTGCTTTCTTATAGTAGACGGATTATAGTATAGTAGACGTCCTATAGGACGGGATTCTGTGCATCCCGTCCTGTGGAGTTGCCACAACGTCCAAAAACTGGTGGACTAAAACGATCAAACCCAACATACCCCAACCCAATCTCACCTAACTTGACCCATCAACCCACTCACAGAAAACGGTGCATGTTTCTCAGCTTTTTCATAGTACACCCGTACGTGTCCGTTCGGGATTTTAACGTCAAACTGCAGGTGTACTGTATTCACCTAGTTGAATACAGTACCTGTGTATTACCTGTGCACCTGTGAATACTCAGCATCTGTGAATACAATTCACAGTTGCCCTGCCCTGACAGAATTCACATTCACAGTATTCAGCACCTGTGAATAAAACTGTGAGAGAGGACGGGTGATTGCGTGCGTCGATGGTTGGTGCGTCGGCATTTAGGTGGGCCTGACAGCTGAGTGGACAGCGCTATGGATTCGTAATCCAGTTTAAACGTTACAGGAAGTTGTTTGTAACCCTAATAATCTTGGCTTGCGAAGTGTCCAAACTCATAAACTGTTTGATAAACGCAAGCTGAGCCGCCATGATTGAGGAAAGATGTACAGGTTTCGTAAAGACCTGAGGTCGGGGACATTTGAAAACCATATATTGCGTACCAGGGATGAAACACGAATCACCAATAGGAACGCATTCGAAATATAATTTCCTTCAGAAGCATTTTGGCTGTCGACCAGTGTAACAAGTTAAATAGATCTCGTAATTAATAGATAACACAATCCATTTTCCTTTTCCAGGTGGGTAGTGTGTCGGCGCCCAGCAGCTGACATCCGACAGGTGAGGGGACAGGTGGAAAGGGATGTGGGAAAGGCTTAATTAAGATGGCGGAAGAGAAGAGGCAGATAAGATGGATTGATAGGGGCCTTCCTTGTGTCGCTTAGTTTCGGGGCTTAGCGTCTCCGCGGCCCGGTCATCGGGCCCTAAGGCATTACCCATTACCCTAAGGCAGGGTAATAGGATGGAGGGGCAGTAGGTACGAGGAGATAATGAACAAATCCACAAGGGCCGTGACGAGGATTCGAACCTGCGTCCGGGAGCATCCCAGACACTGCCTTAATTGACTGAGCTCTTTCTCTGTGTACGAGGAAATATATCCTATAGTGTGAGGTAGGAAAGGATGAAAGAAATAACTGGATGGGCAAGATGTAATGTAATTTGGCGTAGATGAAAGGCAGGAGAATTCGAGGGAAGAATGGACAGATGGGTAGAGGAAGGTTAAGTCGATGGGAAGGAAGATCAAAGGTGATAGGGATGAGTTGAAAAAAATAGGCAATAGGATATTGAATTATCTCGAACGCAGTACACTTTTGCCATCACAGAAGTCTTTACAACACCCACTACAGCTTCCATCTCAACCTCAACCCACCACAGCCAACTGGGCTATGATGGGTCATCATGGGCCTGCAGGCCGCTCCAAGCAACAGCCTAGTGGGCCAAACTCTCACAAGTCAAGCCTGGCCTGAGGCCGGGCTTGAGGTGTAGAACGCCCAGAACCCCATCAACCACAGAAAGCAGGCACAGAAAGCTGTCCAATAATTTGCAGGTGCGCAAGATGTTAAACAGCAAACAGACCTTTTAACTTCAATGAATATAAAGTGGATATCCAGCTCTTCAATAACTCCCTTGTTTCACCCCCATCACAACTACTGTATTCGTACGCGGAGATCTCTCCCACAGCCACATCCAAGGGTAATACAGTCACTATACATGTATACACCATACAAAGTTACTATACATGGTTACGAAGTGGAAACCTCTGTTTTTAAGTTTCATTTTTTCAGTGGTATAGCCATTAAAACAAGTGAATATTGTTTCCCATTAATGGGGTAAAGTGGTCTGATAGGCCTAGTGAGACATCCACAAGGCCCACTGCTGACATCTCCTACCCCCCCACGATGGGAGAACAGGTACATCAGGTGAAAGGAAACGTGCCCAAACGGCTACGTCCTGCCGCGGGACTCGAACGCCGGGCCTTTTAAGATTTGTGTATACGGTCGCAGAAGGAACTTTATTCAGTGGCTTGGACTCCAATTACCTCAGCCACACTCCGTCCCTGTAACCGGCCCTGTAACCGGCCCTGTAACCGGCCCTGTAACCGGCCCTGTAACCGGCCCTGTAACCGTCCCTGTAACCGGCCCTGTAACCGGCCCTGTAACCGGCCCTGTAACCGTCCCTGTAACCGGCCCTGTAACCGTCCCTGTAACCGGCCCTGTAACCGTCCCTGTAACCGGCCCTGTAACCGGCCCTGTAACCGGCCCTGTAACCGACTCTGTAACCGGCCCTGTAACCGGCCCTGTAACCGACTCTGTAACCGTCCCTGTAACCGTCCCTGTAACCGTCCCTGTAACCGGCCCTGTAACCGGCCCTGTAACCGGCCCTGTAACCGACTCTGTAACCGGCCCTGTAACCGGCCCTGTAACCGACTCTGTAACCGGCCCTGTAACCGGCCCTGTAACCGTCCCTGTAACCGGCCCTGTAACCGTCCCTGTAACCGGCCCTGTAACCGGCCCTGTAACCAGCCATATTTGCACCTCATTGACGCCCAGGCCGATTACCCCAGCACTATAAGACCGCATTAACATATTATCCTAATGGGAAGTGGTCTGTTTTGATTTTTTTCCTGAGGGGATGAAGGAAGGGGAAGGGGGGGGAAGTGAAGGGGAGTAAATGATGAGGTGGGGGAGTGTAGAGGGGAAATGAAGGTAGGGAGAACAAGAGGAGGGAAGACTAGAAGGGAGGAAAGGAAGGAATGGGTGAGAGACTGTTTCTCTCTCTCTCTCTCTCTCTCTCTCTCTCTCTCTCTCTCTCTCTCTCTCTCTCTCTCTCTCTCTCTCTCTCTCTCTCTCTCTCTCTCTCGCGTGCGTGCGTGGGGGGGAGGGAAGTGGGTAAATGAAAATGACAAGGAGACCAGTCAGGAGAGAGAGAGAGGGAGAGGGAGAGAGAGAGAGAGAGAGGGAGAGATAGAGAGAGGAGTAGGGTGATAACTGCCTACCTAAAGAGTGCTTAAATTTCCATCACTTTCTTGATTAAGTCTCAATAATTATATGCCATCCGAAGCAGAGTGGAAATAAACTGATCTCCCTTCCATTTAATGTGATTAAAGGCTTAAATGTGTTTCCATGTGTTGATTAAGTAACGTGTTCAACCGGGGGGAAATCGATAGGGAAACATGATTAGTTGTGAGATGAGTAGAATGAGTTAGTCGTAGTGATAACATTGCGATGATCTAGGTCGCCTGATTACTCAGCCCCTTGTGGACTGGTCTAGGTGTATTAACAGTTTGTTGAAACCGGTTTCGTTGGAAGGGAAAGAGAGGGAATTATCAGGGGGGAAAGCTCCAAGCCGTTTCGACTGTATAGCACTTGGAAGGGGTCAGGATAAGGATTTGAAATGGGACGCGGGAAAGGAATGGTGCCCAACCACTTGTGTGACGGTAGGAGAATGGAACGCCGACCTGCATGAAGGAAGATCGTCGCTCTACCGTCCAGCCCAAGTGGTTGGACGACTCCACTTACAATTGAGGGGAACAAGAGAACTATTGACGTTTCTCTTTACTTAATAACTTACAGTAAAAGTTGTTTTTTTTTATTGTATCACTTTTATACTTTTTAACGGTTTAACGGTTTTTAACGGTTTAACGGTTTTTAACGGTAACGTTTTAACGGTCGATTTTACCACCACATCTCGACCCTTCTTTCATCTCTCGACACCACACAATCACCCTCATGTCCATTTCCCATCATTTCCCCCCTATCCTCATCAAACTTCCCCCCTCCCATCCCCTCTATCCTCCCGCCCCACCCCATTCCCCCTCGTTGATTTGCAATTAGTCCAATGTTCAGATTTATATCTAGTTCCTGCAGTATTTGCAGGCGTAGATTAATATATTTTCCTCATTTGTCCTCGAGGAGTGACGGTGTGATAGTTTCCAGGCGTTCCTGATGGTTGAGGTCTTGAAAGTGGCGGTAGTCCACGAAGAGCTTCCAGTCGCTCTTAGGGGAGGTAGTCCACGAAGAGCTTCCAGGAGCTCTTGGGGCGGTAGTCCACGAAGAGCTTCCAGACGCTCTTGGTGGTGGTAGTTCACGAAGAGCTTCCAGACGCTCTTGGGGGTGGTAGTCCACGAAGAGCTTCCAGGAGCTCTTGGGGGCGGTAGTCCACGAAGAGCTTCCAGACGCTCTTGGTGACCGTAGTCCACTAAGAGCTTCCAGACGCTCTTGGTGACCGTAGTCCACTAAGAGCTTCCAGACGCTCTTGGTGACCGTAGTCCACGAAGAGCTTCCAGACGCTCTTGGTGACCGTAGTCCACTAAGAGCTTCCAGACGCTCTTGGTGGTGGTAGTCCACGAAGAGCTTCCAGACGTTCCCTGTGGAGGAACCCTCTGAAGGTTGTCTATCCAGTTTTCCGTGGTCTAGGAAACCTGCATCATAGAAATTGATAACTGGAGGTCTAGTCATCACCCAAGTGATCTTAAGAGCTGTGATCGTTGCTCTCTTGTTCTTCTCAACATTCAGACCTTCCCATATGGTTACTAGGTAGATACATTGACAAATAGATAACTTGATGACCAACCCAGACATAAGAAAAGGAAGAAACGACGATGTTTCGGTCTTTCCTGGACCATTATCATGTTCGGTCCAGGACGGACCGAAACGTCGTCGTTTCTGTCATATGTTTTCTTATATATTCAGCCCCGTTACTGTGACTCATCGGCGGCGAATAGATAACTTAAAATAACATAACGATGACTTAGAGAACGGCGTTGAGGAAGTGTCATCCGTCCTCTCCCTCTAATGCTATTTATTGGGCCGGTATACAGTGTAGTCCGGTGGTTTATACACTCAGTGGGTTATACACTCTGTGGGTTATACACTCTGTGGGTTATACACTCTGTGGGTTATACACTCTGTGGGTTATACACTCTGTGGGTTATACACTCTGTGGGTTATACACTCTGTGGGTTATACACTCTGTGGGTTATACACTCTGTGGGTTATACACTCTGTGGGTTATACACTCTGTGGGTTATACACTCTGTGGGTTATACACTCTGTGGGTTATACACTCAGTGGTTAATACACTCAGTGGTTAATACACTCAGTGGCTAATACATTCAGTGGTATATAAAGCCAATAGATTATACGCCCAGTAGCACATTCTTTTCTAACTTTTCTCCAGTGTGTTCAGATCGTGAAGCCTTTCTTTGAAGTCCTTGGAACTGACTTCATCGAATCACTTTTGAATGCCGAACGCCTTTAGAAGAGGCACAGAAAGCTACGTGACGACAACAGCTGCTGCTGTTGCTGCTGCTGTTGCTGCTGCTGTTGCTGCTGCTGTTTCTACTTCTTTTAACAGAGCAGACGAAGTAATGACCAAACTGCACATCAGAAAGTGGAGAAACGACAGCGTTTCGGTCCGTCAAAGACCATTATAAACTATCAGGAGAGATAAAGGTACAGGTAAATGTATAAGGTGAGAGAGTGAGAAGAGGGGTGAGGAACAGGTAAGAATAGGATGAAATGTAGTGGAAGAAGTGGTGGTGAATTGTAGGAACATTGTTGGAGAGTGGAGTCGCGAATGAGACTTCAGAAAATGCCGTTTTCTACGTAAGGATTGTAAAGATATCAACTGGGTTAGAAGGAGGGAGTGAAGCAAGCTTTTAGCGGCTTAAAGAAAAAATAGTTAAAATTACAAATAAGGTATATGAACGAATTGTCATTAATTACTAACCAATCGCCGGAAAGTCGCATCTTAAGAGCTGAAACTAAACTTTGGGAGTATATATAGATATATATATAGATATATAGATATATACATCTATATATGTATATATAGATGAATACAAACACGCGCACTCACGTACGTACACACACACACGTACACACACACACACACACACACACACACACACACTGTGTGTGTGAAGTGCTGTGTGTGCTGGAAGACGGGACACCACGAGCGTAGCTCTCATCCTGTAACTACACTTAGGTAATTACACACACACACACACACACACACACACACACACACACACACACACACACACACACACACACACACACACACACACATGGGGGCCTCGTAGCCTGGTGGATAGCGCGCAGGACTCGTAATTCTGTGGCGCTGGTTCGATTCCCGCACGAGGCAGAAACAAATGGGCAAAGTTTCTTTCACCCTGAATGCCCCCTGTTACCTAGCAGTAAATAGGTACCTGGGAGTAAGTTAGCTGTCACGGGCTGCTTCCTGGTGTGTGTGTGTGTGTGTGTGTGTGTGTGTGTGTGTGTGTGTGTGTGTGTGTGTGTGTGTGTGTGTGTGTGGTGGTGTGGGGGAAGTAGTAAACAGTTGATTGACAGTTGAGAGGCGGGCCGAAAGAGCAAAGCTCAACCCCCGCAAACACAACTAGGTGAATACACACACACACACACACACATGGACACAAACAGATAGGTGTACACAGCCTATCCACTCCCACGTGTTCCCCCTATCCCCAAGCCACTTCAACTAGGCCGTGATTCCCCTTCATCCCTCCCAGTTCCCCTCTTCCCCCCGCTGCTCTCCCCTCGCTCTCTATCCGGCTAAGCTTCTTCAAATTACGAAAATCTGTTAATCAAACAGCTGGGTCCTGTCGACATCCGGCCTATACGGTAAAACAAACACTGCTATATAGGACAGAAGAAAGATACAGAAGAAAATGTATATATGCTGGTTAGCATTGTAAATGTGTGGCCACGTCTGTGGTAGAAAATAATAATAAAAAAAACTGCTATATAGGAAAAAACTGCTATATAGGAAAAAACTGCTATATAGGAAAAAACTGCTATATAGGAAAAAACTGCTATATAGGAAAAAACTGCTATATAGGAAAAAACTGCTATATAGGAAAAAACTGCTATATAGGAAAAAACTGCTATATAGGAAAAAACTGCTATATAGGAAAAAACTGCTATATAGGAAAAAACTGCTATATAGGAAAAAACTGCTATATAGGAAAAACTGCCATATAGGACCCAACTGCGTGCCTTTCCCACCTGCGGATTATTGATCTTTGCTTTCGTGTGTGTGCAGTCACCTAGTTGTGCTTGCGGGGATTGGTCCGGTACTCCTTGGAGGAAACAATCTATTTTCCTCTTGAAGATGTCCACGGTTGTTCCGGCAATATTTCTTATACTCGCTGGGGAGGATGGTAACAACCGTGGCCCTCTGGTGTTCAGTGTTTGCAAATGTTTGCAGGGGTGGTCTGAAAATAGGCCTATAGAATTTTGCTCATTGAAATACCAAGTTATAACGATAGAAATTGTAGCGAGAAGCCCTCTACAGGAGGAAAGGCGGAGGAATTCTTGCTTTAGATGAAGGCCTACTTTGCGTTGCTTCTGTTCAATAACAGCCTTGTTCAATAACGAGGCTTGATGCTAAACAATTGGATTGATGAAGATTAAGCCACCCAAAAGGTGGCACGGGCATGAATAGCCCGTAAGTAGTGGCCCTTATGAGCCACTACCAGTATCAAGAGCTGATACTGGAGATCTGTGGAGGTGTGACTGCACCCTGCGGAGAGGTCGTGACCTCTGTGCTAAACAATTCCTTG